TACATACAGAGACACATAAGCACAGGTACATGCAGAACATATTAAGCATACAGAAGCACATGTATGCATAACTATTCTTGTGATTAGATCCATATATTCTCATACGAAGATTATGTGTTATTAGGAAGAATCTCCTCTTATGCTCATATGGGTAAAGAGCTGCACACACTTGTTACTAGTGTCTCTCATCTTTTTAAGCCAACTGCCTCCCACACAGATGTTCTTTTGCTATGTCTAAAAAAGAAAAAAAAAAAAAATACAAAGATAATAAAATAAAAAAAATCCTTGGGAGCTAAACGGTCTGTTCACTTCTTGGGGTCTCTTATGGTGTTGGTGTTTTGATAGGCCCCGGCTGGCATGTCTCCTTCCCATATGTACCAGTACATGAATGACCGCCGTCTGTCAGGGGGATCTCTGCCCGGCTCCCAGGTAAATCACGTGCCACCACAGCCCGTCCCAAGTATCCCAGTCTCTGATCCCTCTTTTTCTAATGATGACAAACAATTTGATTCCTTTTTTTCCTTTTTTTTTCTTTTTTTTAACTTTTTTTTTTTCTTATTTTTTTAAGTTTGAGTTTATTAATATCATAGAAGGATTTTTTTTTTTTCCCCGTTTGAATATTAATTCTTCTCTCACATTGCATTTCGTGCACCTGCCATTAAACTCAGTAATTTAGGCTGTTCTTCAATTAACTTACTTTTTTTTCTCCTTCGTTTTTTCCGTGCGTCTTCTGGTTTCTCTTTTATTTGAACACTTTTCATTATTAATATCATTTGACTTTTTATCTTGCACATTGTAGTCCATGTCTCTTTACCTGCACTCTTTCTTGTCTCTAGTTCTGGTAACAGTACTGCAGGTATATTATTATATATAAATTTTAAGTACAGCTTTATTGTATCCTAGCTTCTGCATTGCACAGTATTGTAATAGGGAAAGTAAGTACAGATTTGTTATAAGGAAAGGGTGTTTGAAATAATGTTTTTAGGAGGAACTATTTCAGTATTGAAAGAATTTGACAATTGCAAGGTATTAAAGATAAGATATTACAGTTACAGTAATAGAACTATTTAGTCATATTCATGAAGTTTCAGAGAGAGTAGATTATTGAGAGTTTGTGTAAGTTAATGTCATAACAATAGTGCCATTTTGCAGCTAATATTGGATAACCATTCTAAATGGGACAGATGAATGGCTTTGAAAAAAAAAAAAAAAATCTGTCTTAGAGTGCTTTCTGTACCTTCTTTGAGAATGTGATTTATTATAACCTCACTTATGGTAATTAGGTATGCTTATAAAACTAACCGTAAGGTGAATATTCCTCATCTTACTGAGTATTCCTTTGAAATTCCTGAATCTACAAGGTAAGGATGGCATGTCTTCAAGCTTCCTAGGTAGATATGCAGTCTTAGTCTTCTTGTGTAGAGTTTAAAGTAGAATAGAGATTGTGCATTTATAGATATTTTTTTATATATATATATATATATTGATAGAGTTATTTAAAACATTCTGTAGTATTTCAATAAACTTGTTAATTTCCCTCTGAAATGTACCAATTATTGTTTAATTCCTATATTTATTTGGGCTTCTTTGTTGCAGCAGCCAGAGAGGATCATTTGCAATATATATCAAGTTTTCTTTTATACACAAAAAAGAGCGAGAGAGAGAGAAAGAGAGAAAGAGAGAGAGAGAGAATGAGAAGAAAAGAAACTAAACCTTTCTACATTGCAGTATAGCATGAGAGTGTTGTTATTTTCCCGACATCATAATTTTTGAATTATTATTATATAATGTGTTCCCTTCCCCTTTTTTATCTTTTTTTTTCAGTGCAGTGCTGTAGTCTGTGTTTGAACTTCATTTCTCTTTCCAGATTTTTGTCCTGTTCTGTCGCACTGTATATATATTTGTTGGTTCTCCAGTGTTGAATCTCAAATGAACTAGTATTGAAGTGTGTATTTCTGTATGATTTAAAGTGAAAAAATGAAAAATAAAAAGATAAAGTGTATAAAAACAAGTAAATAGTTAACAAGAGTGAACAAAAATATTAGGCTTCTCAAAGCAATTATGCTACCAGAATTTATGTTGTTTTGGAATGTTTTAGGATTTTCTTAATGTAGGTTTCAACATAAGCTTTATATGCAGTATCCTTTCAGAGTAAAATTATTTTGATTCATTTGCAGACTTTGAAGCAGGAATTTGTTATCACGAATGACTGAGATGTGAATGTGCTAAAGTAGTAATGTCTACAGGTTTCCAATAGTTTAGATCCTCAATATACATGTGTATATATATACACATATCTATACTTATATATATATATATATATATATATATATATATATATATATATATATATATATATATATATATATATATATATATATATATATATATATATATATGATGTATATGTACATATATATATATTATATATATATATATATATATATATATATATATATATATATATATATATATATATATATATATATATATATATATATATATATATATATATATATGATGTATATATATATATATATATATATATATATATATATATATATATATATATGATGTATATATATATATATATATATATATGATGTATATATATATATATATATATATATATATGATGTATATGTATATATATATATATATGATGTATATGTATATATATATATATATAATGTATATGTATATATAATGTATATATATATGATGTATATGTATTTATAATGTATATATATATGATGTATATGTATATATAATGTATATATATATGATGTATATGTATATATATATATATGATGTATATGTATATATATATATATATGTATGTATATGTATGTATATGTATGTATATGTATGTATATGTATATATATATGTATGTATATGTATGTATATGTATATGTATGTATATGTATGTATATGTATATGTATGTATATGTATGTATATATATGTATGTATATATATGTATGTATATGTATATATATATATATATATATATATATATATATATATATATATATATATATATATATATATATATATATATATATATATATATATGTATGTATATGTTTGTATATGTATATATATGTATATATATATGTATGTGTATGTATATATATGTATGTAAGTATGAAAATACCTATCTGACTATCTATCTATATAGATGTGCATATAGATAGATTGATAGATAAATGGATAGTTAGTTAGTTTGATAGTTAAACAGGGGGATCAATTATGTATACATATGTACATACATAATAAACAAATTTTACACACACACACACACACACACACACACACACACACACACATACATACATACACACACACATATACACATATACACGTGCGTGTATAAGTGTACATACATATACACATACACGTGTGTGTGTGTGTGTGTATATGTGTGTGTGTGTGTGTGTGTGTGTGTGTGTGTGCATGCATGCATGCATGCGTGCATGCGTGCATATATGTACATTTATATTTAAATATTCATTTACAATTTTATATCAGGGGCATCAAAGAGGGAGTGGAGGCCAAGATTTTTTGCTAAATTACATATAAATAGCTTTGGTTGTAGCTTCAAAATGCTCCTAGAATACCTAATTTTTCAAAAATTTCACCACCACCCCCATTCCCGAAATGATGAAATAATGCCTATATACATACATGCATACACTCATAAATATAATGGAGGGTAACATACTATAATTTCCATAATCGTAGTTACACAGTAATACTAAAGAATACAAGTGAAATCATGAGTGTTTGGACTGTAAGTGACTTTGTCTGTAAGTGGCCTTTGTTCCTAGGTTTTGTTCCATTATCCCTTGTTTAAGATATTTGATTCTGTTTATCACTGTGTCTGTGTTGTTTAGGCTATAGAATTGTGTTAGTTATATAATCCTGCCATAGTTTTCATGAGAACTTTACCAGGTTTTGTGGTGTGTGTATGTGTGTGTGTGTGTGTGTGTGTGTTTGTTTTGTGTGTGTTTTGTGTTGTGTGTCTTGTCTGTAATTTTTATTTTATTTATAATTTCTTCACTAGTTCAGTCAAATTTATAAAGTACAATGCATAGACTACCTTCAGATATTTTGATTTTTATTCGTAATTGAATCCCTTCTGTTAAACTCCCTTTGCATTGTACTAAAGGAACTTTCACCCTATTCCTTACAGGGTAACCTAGCCAACATGAACCGAGTTGATGGCCGAGATGACAGCCAAGTGTCACTGGGCATGCGAGGGGAAGGCTCTCCGCCAACTCCTCGTTCGCTGCGCCTGATGCCCGGCCCAGCCATGGTGCCCCCTACGAGCCTGGTACCTGGAGGTGGTAGTGTGGGAGGACCAAGCGGTGGGCTGCCGTCCCAGCTGGCGAGCCTTACCGCGTCCTCCGAAGACCTGAGGAGGTACACCCACGTGCCTGACCACTCACCTGCCTCTGCTCTCACGCCTGGCCTCCAACATCACCCCTACTCACCAGGGTACTGTATATGGTGCACCCACACAACCAGGCTCCCAACTATTCAGCTCAGACAACTCGAGGATATATTCACAGTCTATATGTACACATACTAGCCATGCAGAAATGTTTTTGATGTCTAAAGAGATACTCTTTCTATGGACTAGGTGGTTACATGTCTGTCCTGTGTCAGACTGTAATTACCCTAGTGTGTGTCTTTAGATCATCAGAACATGTACACACGATTACGAAGGGTGGGGAGCCTGCTTGTGGTTTTGAGGGAGGTGGGTCCACGGGGGTCATATAGTAAAGAAATTATCATATACAATTTTTCGGTACACACAGCTATTTGGTACACATAAACATGCTTGCTTCCCCTACCTGCCCCTTTCCATATCTCTCTCTTTCTTTCTCTCTTTCTTTCTCTCTCTCTCTCTCTCTCTCTCTCTCTCTCTCTCTCTCTCTCTCTCTCTCTCTCTCTCTCTCTCTCTCTCTCTCTCTCTCTCTCTCTCTCTCTCTCTCTCTTTCTATCTCTTTCTCTCTTTTTTTTTTGTTCTGAGGGATTGCCACTATTATGATGATGTTGGAATAGATGGATCCACCTCTCTTTATCATAAGCAACTAACTTTTTTTTATTTGCTTTGCAGCAATGCCTCTTTATACTAATATATTTTAATGATATTTTTGTTTTATTTGGAGAATGATTACCTTCATAGTGAATATAGTTGCATATGGCTGAGGTACTTATCCCAGGGGCTTCAGGAATCTTTCCTCTTAATGTGATAAACTTGGTGCATTTGTGAACACAGTTGTGATGGCTGTTACTGCTTTGCTTTGTGTGTTCCATAATACAATGCTGGGTAGTTTATTATCCAGTTTAGTCTCCCCTTCTAAAAAGTGAAATGAGAAAAGAAAATGGTTGTCAGATAATAGTGCTTCATCTTTATACTTTGTAAAAATCAGTCACGGCATTTACTTTAAAACAAAAATATAGATGGATGGTGTAAAATGCTAGTGATATAAAGCATAGAAGGAGTAAGTACTCTTTGCTAAACCATAAAAACTCCCCAAAATGAGGCAATTTGTGCTCACTCAGTGTGTAAGGTTACTGTTAGCTTGGTGTTCTTGTCCTCAAGAAGAGTCTATTTGTTATTTATTTATTGTAATATACATATAGTAAGGGTGCAGAGTACGCAATTTTGCATCGTGTTGAATGGATGACTCTGGTGTTGTCGCAAAACCAACACCTTTAATGTCTAAGTCTAGTTAGTTGTTTTACTTCTACTCCCCAAATCATCATCCTTGCCCATGAGAGCCAGTGTTCTGGATGTTACTACATAATACTGTACTATAGCATGTTAAGTGGTTTGAGAATTTCATTTACTTAGTTATTTAGGGGAAATCCATTTGTGGGAATTGGGGATAGGAGTTTGTCTAGTCATTTGACGTAGCAGTCTGTATAGTTTTTATGCAGTGTGGTCCTTTGAGTCACCCTCATTTTTTATTTTTAGCTTACGTTCATTTCACGCTAAATTTCAGTACATAAGTGCTAACAGTGGGAGTAAATAGACAAGATGTCTAGCTGATAAGAATGCCTTCCGATCCCCCCTCTCCTCAATTAGCTATTAAATTCATAGAAGAAATTTTACTAATGTATGGAAAAGCACAGCCATGGTATTGAATTTTAGATGGTATTTTGTTTCAGTTTGGTTGCAGTTATTCATGTGTTTTTTTTTTTTACTTCCTTTTTTTTTCTTTTGGTGTGTGAGCCCCTATTAGCAATAAAAAAAGTGTAGGTGGTACATTATATAAGTTTTCTTTTGATTATACTGTGTGTGTATGCCTTTATTAACACTTAGCAGTTAGGAAAGGTGTGCTTCTTCCTGGCCATTTGACTACTAACCCACTGTGGGCTGGTATCTCCACAGACCCAGTGTTGTCACCCCTGGTCAGCCCTACTACCCTTCAAACTGCAGCCTTCTCTCCAGCCCCATGCTCAGGTTATTCATCATATTCATCACAATCTTTGTCACTCACTCACCCCACCTTCACCCCTTCCCTACAGTCACTCCCTTTCTCTGCTGATTATGGGCATAACTGCCAATGTCAGTTGGGCAGTGTGCCGAGTTCTTTCTCACCTTGTAGCCTTTGCGTACTTGCACCTGTCTGTGGGTTTCATTGTTTTCACAGTGGAAACATGGCGGTAGTTAGTTCACCTGTTATATAGCCGGTCATGAATTATAAACTAGTTTGTAGTGAGTACCTTTTTAACGACACCACCTGTCGCCCTGTCACGTAGTAATGCACTAACCGTGATTTTGCCCAGGATGATTTTTTTGATCTGGTCAGTGTTTTTATGATGACTAGAAAAGAACCTTTTAGGATGAAATGCTTCTAAAATCAAAAGAGCATGAATTTTTTTTTTTTTTATATGTAACATTTTGAATAGTTTGAAATAATATATATTTATATATATAAATGTATAAATATTTTTTCTCTCTTAAGATGGGACAGAATGTAAGGTTATGTATCTGTTGAAGTACTTTAATGTGTAGTATTTTTTGTACATTTCTTGTATCATTTACCACCTGCTTCGTCAGTTGCAAACTGAGCTTGTACCTTCCTGATATTTTCTTACTATGGTAATTGATGGAATTAGTTTCAGTTAGCAAATCATGTGCTATACACTGGAGCATGATTATCTTCAGATCCCTGTTAATTCTATGTTAGGCATCCACAGTTAAACAGGACAATGTCCATTCTCCATATCAGTATAAACTTTTGTATATATGTCTTTCTTAAATTTTTGTATTAGCCTGAGGGTCAAATGTAAAATCAGTTTGCATCTGTTCAAAGTTAGTTTATCACATGCTGATATTATGAGTAAGTTTATTTCATTGCAACACATGGAGGAACACGAAAGCAAAATAAGGGGCCACTTTTATTACTTCAGTATCCTGTAAGTTACGCCTTATGTGAGAGACCAAGAGGAAGGAAGAATGCATAGTGCATGGCAGTCCATAAGGACTTGCGTGTCCTTAGGTACACCAGACATGTCACCTGCTGTCATGGTAACAGTCGATTAAGAAGGATTTAGGTTGAAGGTCAGAATTTTGCTGCTGCTTCTTTTAGCAGTTGTTTTAGCCACTTTGATTCATAACAGAATGTGGGAATATTATTAATGTGTGGGAGTAATCAGTGTCTGGGATCATGTAATTATGTGTATGTTATTGTTTGTACAAGAGAGATTTATTACTCTGTACGTGTATTTTTAGGTCATATAATTTCACATATGAGGACATTTTTTCTCCCATGATGTGTTTTTTGCAGGAAATTAATATAAAATGATGCATGTTTTGTGACCATGACTTAGATAAAGCAATAGGTATAGGTATTCACAGATTTCTGTAGTAAAACATAATGTGTTGCATGTTAAAACTTCCTTTAACATTGCAGGAGTGCAAATATATACTTAGGCACAGATTATTATAAAAATATATTGGTAGATGTATAGGTTCATGTATCTCCAGTATGTGGTAAATAGAGGAAAGACATAATGAACTTGCCAGTAGTACAGAATATACAGATTTTTTTTTATTGTTCTCAAGATGTCTAGTGTACCCAGGAAGTTGTTTAGTCTGCCATTTCATTTTGATTACTGTAGAGAAGATATAGAATAAAATTAGGGTAGGGTCTGGCTGCAGGTTGCATGACATAACAAACTATGAATCGTATATATCAGTACATGGTAAGAGTCGTGTGGAGTTGTTAGTTAAATCAGGGCTATTTCTCTACCGTGGTGCCTGCTGGACGGGGTTCTGTGCATGTCCTGTTCCTCTGCTTCTATTGTTTCTCTGTTTTATTTAGTGGTTTGTAGTGCCTTATTTGATACTACTTTTCCCTTTCTTTATCAAGCAGTAGGCTCTGTAAAAATCTACACTACCCAGTATTAAATAGTTTTAGATATCGTGTATTCTATTCAAAATCTAGTTAATTAAGTGTTGACTTAATATTAAATAGAATAATTATAGTTACTCCATATTGGAAAAATAAGAAAGTTAGATACTAAAAAAAAAAAAAAAACATGTTAATATGAATAGGTACATTTGAAGTTCATATAAATGATTCACTTAGAGATAATTTGCAGACTAACTAAAGAGTCCATATGCCTAGACAGAAGAGTGGTTGCATGTCCTTGTCTTTGCAGCTGATCAGTTAACAAAGCTTTTTAATTTAATTTGACTACTTCATTTAAGATCATGGATGTATTTGCTGAGTTTATTAAACATGCATATGGCTGACTTGTTACCAGTTTAGTTTATTTTTATTTTTAGTTGTTCTAATTTTAATTTTCTTTGTTTGAGCTTTTGCCTCCCTCCCCTGCCCCCCCCCCACTGCCCCACTTAACAATAATTTTATGCTTGTGGGATTATATCTCATTCTCCGTTCCCCCCCCCCTTTTCCCCTCCCCTCCCCCCCCAAAAGCGACTGCAACCCAGTGGTAATGTAAGGTCGGGGTTTTTGAGCCAAAAATGTTACCATACTGAACATGCCTTTTAATGGGGACCCCAGAGGTGGTGGGGGCGAGTCCTCCCTCTCTACACCATCCCCCCTCTCTTCCCACCACAGCAGCCAGGATTCACTGCACAAGAGCGTGATCAACCAGCCCAAGAAGAAGGGGATCAAGTCGTCGCTGGGAAGGTTCTTCAGTAAAAAGGACAAGGTGGGTTTTTTTTTTGTTTGTTTTTTCTGGATTCTAAAGATCATCGATGGTAGGACAGACATGTGTATATTTTATCATTTCTTTTTTTCTTTTTATTTCAGTAGCATGACTTTAATGATATAGTGGTTAATTATGACAGGCAACTTACATAATTTGTCATTATTTATCTTTACATATTAGTTCTAGGTCATTAAAAAAAAGGTGTTTGATATACACATAAATAAATTTATTACTCTTACAGCAGGTGAAGGTGAAGGAGGCACTTCAACAGCACCACAGTCCAGGAGGGCTGAGTTCTTCCGGGATCTACAGCGACGGGGACATTGGGTCATCTGATTCTCTGTCTCTGGCGGGACTCGGTCAGAAGAGTGATTACGATAGACGTAACAAGAAGAAGTGAGTTCTGCAAGGATTGATATATGTTATTTTTTGTTATGAAAAAAAGTGTTGTAAGATATTTTTATTGAGATTTTGTGCAGTCATCAACTTCTTCAATTGAAGAATGAATACTACAAGAAATATGATGCTAAGAAGTCTTGCTATCATCATAGTATACAAGAGATTACCAAATATTAACTCAAGTGCCGCCAGCATGGCATATACGTACATGTCATGTCCTCTGTGAGTTTACCTCATTAATTGTTTTTACACATAGATGGCTACACTTGTACTAAGTCACCAATGAGCCAATTATGAGTACTGCCTGTCTTGCACATTTACCCTTTTCCTTGATGTATGAAAATATTTGATTTTGTCTGATTTTGCTGTTACTGTTGTATATTATAGTAAATATAATGTCTATAATAAAGATAACATCATTGATATTCATAGCATTAGTAAAAAAGATGTTTTTCATGCCAATTCAAAGAAAGGTGAAATCACAAGGTCTACTTATTGAATCCTTTGTGGCTAAGCGCTAGCAGAGCCATCTATGTGCAAAGACATTTCACAGAAAAAAAAAAATGAGCAAAGCATTTTCCTGGCAGCATTGGGTTGAAATTCTAGATGATAAATATTTGTATCATTTAGAACAAGATTTGTACATGCACATGAATTTGATATACGACTGAAATTCTTATGCATGTAGGAGGTATCAGGTTTAAGAAGAGGACTTACCATTTTAGCGGGGCTTAAGTTACGACAGTGATCTGAAGGCAGGGAGACTAATATTATCTACATTTACTTTCAGTTTGCCGGGCTATAGACATGAATTGCTGGCAGAGGCAATGAAAGCAGGAACACCATTTGCACTATGGAATGGTCCTACCATTGTTGCATGGCTGGAGCTGTGGGTGGGCATGCCAGCTTGGTATGTGGCAGCTTGCAGGGCAAACGTCAAATCTGGTGCCATCATGTCTGCCTTGAGTGATGCAGAGATCCAGCGGGAGATTGGCATTTCAAATCCCCTGCACCGCCTCAAGCTGCGTCTGGCCATTCAGGAGATGGTTTCCTTAACGTCTCCATCAGCACCAAAGACTTCACGTACGACTCTAGCGTTTGGCGACATGAACCACGAGTGGGTCGGAAACGAATGGCTCCCAGCTCTAGGTTTGCCTCAGTATAGGACAACGTTCATGGAGTGCTTAGTGGATGCCCGGATGCTCGACCACCTCACCAAAAAGGATCTACGAGGGCAGCTGAAGATGGTCGACTCTTTCCATAGGTGAGAGTTCTTTGTGTTGAGTATGGTCTTCATTTAAAGTTTTGATATTATACTTTCTGCTGTCATTTGAGATATTTACACTGTAATGGTAATAAAATTAATAATGTCAAGTATAGGTAATACAACACCAATAACAATCACATTTCTCATTATACAGATGACTTAACATGAGTTTAACATCCATGAACCTATTTATCTACAAGCCTAGCTTATATGATAAGATGAATGAAAAAATGATATGATATATGATAGGGTTACCAGGCTGTAGACTAGCTTGATACTTCATTCTTGAATATCTGATATTGGCACATTGCTTAAAATATGTCTTGCTTATGTTATGTGTTAACAGCTGTGAAACCTTAATATTTTTTTTTTTCTCCCCCAGAACATCACTACAGTATGGAATTACAGCATTGAAAAAGATAAATTATGATCGTGTTGCTTTAGAAGAACGAAGACGAAATTGTGAAGAGGAAAATAAGGATGTGTTGGTGTGGACTAATGAACGTGTTATTAAGTGGATTAATGACATTGGTCTAAAGGTCAGTTAACAGTTTCTTTGTACCCTTTCTGTGCACCTTAGTTTTGTGTACTTGATATGTGCAAAAACTTATTAAAGTTCGTTGTGCTGTTTAATTTATAGCAGTAGGCCTGTTTACAAATCATAATTATAAAGATTATAAAATCATTGATTCTGTACACCCTTAGTTCTTTGTTTTGTATTCTATATTAACTAAGTATGATGAAAGATTTATTATTCAAGTTGATTAATCCTTAAAAGTTGCGCAGTCTTGAGAGCTTATGCAGATGCGGCACATAAGCACATTAAACACATACTTGCATTCTTGTATTTATGTCCATCTACTCTAATTCAGTTTGTATGATGGAAATGTACATCATGAAATATGTCAATGCCCCAGCCATTTTTTGTTGTACTATGGGATGATTAGTGAAATTTGCCATGCATCCTCCTTCAGATATATCCGAATACAGGACACACATCCTTTAGGGGTTAAAAAAAAGGGTGAATAATGATAATAATAATAATGTTTATCACATGAAAAGAATGCTCCCTGGGCCCAATTTCAACAAATAAATTGTTCCAACTCTAATACAATTACCTCTTCCAACAGGAATATGCCAACAATCTCATAGAATCTGGAGTACATGGCTCTTTAGTAGCACTTGACGAAAGCTTCGACTATAATGCCTTGGCTTTAGCTCTTCAGATTCCCACTCAAAATGTTCAGGTGAGTTAACCTGGTGTCTTTGGCAGGTTGTGATCTCATGGTATTCAGTTAGTAGAAGAGATGAAGAAGCATTTCAGGGAAGACAAGAAATATTATTAAGGAGAAGTGGTACAAGTGTGCAGGGTATTTGTTACACTTTGGTTTTATGTTTTTTTTCTGGTTTAGCTTATTTTCTTTGTTATTATTTATTGGTCTTATTTATTTTGGGTTGAATTAATCTTGGTACATCTTGTTGTATCCTCCTTGGCTTCCCATTTTTACTTTACTCATTTATGTTATTCATCAGTTGTGTTTAAGCATAGATAAGAACATGCTTTTTAAAATTACCTACAGTTCTCAAAAAATGACGAAAGGAGTTTTATTTGTGTAATATCACATGAGCTGATATGTAGATGTGACAGTCTTCTAGTCCCTAACACTTAGTGCTTAGCAAAAGCAAAGTGACTTATTTTGCCAGAAATATTATATAATGAGCGTTCCTTTTTTTCCCATTAGATCAGTAGATATGTAGAAACTTGTGATTTGAATGTAGAGGAAATTGAACTAAGTTTTGAGGAATGGTAAAAGTCTTCATGTATTATTATTACTATCACTATTATTTTTATTATTATTATTATTATTATTATTATTATTATTATTATTACTATTTTTATTATTCTTGTTATTTTTATTATTACTATTATTATTTCTATAATTATTACTTTAATTATTTCTATAATTACTACTATGATTACTATTATAATTACTATTACTACTACTGTTATTATAATGGCAAGTATTATCATATCTGATTAGTCTATTTAATTTTCACAAACTAACCCCATGGTCTATTTCCAGGCAAGACAGCTTCTAGAGCAAGAATTCCGCACCCTCCTTTCCACTGGGACGGACCGAGCTGACATTAATAAATCTTGATATGAAGCCCCCGCTGCTAAGGATGCTGAAGCTAGGCTTGTTTAATGAATCCAAAGAAGAGCAACAGTATAAGCGGTGACAACATGACCAGTGATGATCTTCGGTTCATTCACGAAGAGTCAGGCTTCGACTAAACCCAATCGTGTTGCCAGCTGCCTGTGTGACACTGATGTGCAACAGTGATGATTCTATGTGGTTCTAAGTAAAGTAAAATGTCTTTAAAACGTAATGAGTAAATCAGTAAAAAATGGGGTTTTACGAGGATGGCCATGAGTAAAACAGATTGGGTTTCTTGCCTGCAGATCACTTGATTCATCATGGAACTACCTGTCATCTGCCTTGTTATTTATATTCACCAGATGTTGTGCTGCAGTCTTAGCTGCGGATTTCACTTTCTGATGATGTAAAGGTGATTGTTGTTATAAATTTGAATGAAATTTTTTTGGTGCATTAGCAAATGTATATGCTATAGTAGAGACAGTGCTAAAAATGGATCACCTTACCAGAAACTCTAGTCGACAGTGGCTATGGATCAGCGAACAAGTCTGTGGTGCGATGTATTCTGTTGAGCTGACGCTTATGATTAGGCTTAGCCAAGCAATAGTACGCTTGGAATAGCATGGATAAAATTACCTGGTACTGTGCAGGGCTGTGAGTCGGGATACGTTCATAGTGCAGCTGAAGGCATGTGACTAAAAAAAAAAACGGAGAGTCGTCGTAACAGTAATGGCTAAAGATGTGGACAGTGATATGTATTATACGTGTAAATTTTGACTAGACACTGCCTGGCACAATATGAGGTTTATGGATTAGATTAACTGGTGTACAGCCATGCTTGGAAGAAGGTCAGCCTAGGAAGAAGAGGTAATGCTATCACATTATGTGCTTATGAATACCCGGGGTTAGATGTTGCTGTGTGTGATCTAGGTGATGACAGCAATCGCTATGCCACTGTTGTTGGGTGTATGGAATACATGCTTGTATACATACAGGCATCATTAAGATTAGATGCATAAGTGATACAGCTCTGTAATTAAAAAAAGTAAACATTATTTATTAAAGCTGTTCAAAGATAAGGAATCATTTCAAGCAGTCAGTTTTATGTCAGTGTTATGTACCAGTCAGTATAAAGGAGTGAGTGAGAATTATCTGGTCCTTCTGGAAAGTTAGCTACATAGGCTGCCCATTTTTTTCAGTGATTAAAAGTCTAGTATTGTACAGATTTGTGCTATAGACAACACAGTGTCTCAAATTTACTCCAAAAAATTTATCGACAATATGGTAATGTTTGTTTTTGCTGCTTTGTTAGTGTGACTGAAACTGCCAAATCAGGTACAAGAGTGTTTTTAAAGTTACGAGTACTGTGTGCTGGTCATAGGGCAGCTCCAGTCAACCACAGGAATACAATGTATATCTGGTGCAGTGTCTGTGTACGCACATATGATTTATATGTAACTGTCTGTGTATTGCCATCATTGTTGAATCACAATGTTCTGGTTTTAATTATATTGACCTTGATGTAAGAAGCATTGGAGACTTCCAAGTGAAGGAGCAGAGCAGGGTTATGGCTAGTTAGGAATGTGCTTCAACTTTTGAAGACAAAAACCATCTTCCATACTTTACATGCCAAACTTGTCTTTGTAATTAATATGTGTAAAAAGCCTACTCATTATCAATTGAGACCTTTGGCAAACAGTGTTGGTTTGTATTAATGTTATGTTTGGTAACTGGCCAGGTTTGTACTGAGAACTATGAAGTGTACTTCCTGTTATCAAGGAGACTTGAGTTGGCCAGTTAACTTGTGTATGAGCTGTGTTGTCATAAGGAACTGATATGGTCTGTACAGTGCACTTTACATTGATGTTGAGTATGATTGATTGTTTCTGTGAAACTTGTGTAAGTAGTGTCCCATTCTCAACGTAATGTTCAGTGTAATGCCAGATATACTCACCTCATTGTTATATGTAAAGCTTGTTGTATTGCCATCATTGTTGAATCACAATGTTCTGGTTTTAATTATATTGACCTTGATGTAAGAAGCATTGGAGACTTCCAAGTGAAGGAGCAGAGCAGGGTTATGGCTAGTTAGGAATGTGCTTCAACTTTTGAAGACAAAAACCATCTTCCATACTTTACATGCCAAACTCTTTGTAATTAATATGTGTAAAAAGCCTACTCATTATCAATTGAGACCTTTGGCAAACAGTGTTGGTTTGTATTAATGTTATGTTTGGTAACTGGCCAGGTTTGTACTGAGAACTATGAAGTGTACTTCCTGTTATCAAGGAGACTTGAGTTGGCCAGTTAACTTGTGTATGAGCTGTGTTGTCATAAGGAACTGATATGGTCTGTACAGTGCACTTTACATTGATGTTGAGTATGATTGATTGTTTCTGTGAAACTTGTGTAAGTAGTGTCCCATTCTCAACGTAATGTTCAGTGTAATGCCAGATATACTCACCTCATTGTTATATGTAAAGCTTCATGTTTACCAGATCATCTAGCCTGCATTCAAATCATGATGTTACATTAGTTTTTAATTTCCTCCTGTGTTCTGGTGCTGTGTGGCTGTAGTGACCTCCTCTCTGATCCTAAGCCTCCCTCTACTTGCTGCTTCTCACCACATAGCCCTCGTGCTTTCCCTCGAGTGCTGGCCCTGGATCTGGACGACCATTCCATTCATGTATTGTCATGTGCTGCATTGACCCGTGTGTGCTACTACCACTAGCTGGTGCTTCTCCCAGTTTGGTAGTCGAGTTCTAAAAACATACACCTGTACCTCTAGCCTAGGTTTGAATTGTTTTTTTTTCCATTCTTTTTATTATTCTGATTATGATTTTTTAAAATATTTTTAACCATTTTTGACATGGGGTCATTTTATTGTGACTTGCATCATGAAACTCATTGCTCCCATATCCTCTCTCACAAAGCAGCTTTTTGAGATGAGACTGAACTCACTGTTTCAGCTGATGTGACTTAAACATTTTCCAAATGATTACTAACTTAATTTTAGACAAACTTTCATGTACCCTGTAATAATGCGCCTCACAGAGTCAGATATGCAAAGGGAAAAAAAACAAAAACAAAAAACAAAAAAAAAAAAATCAATATTTTTTATTGTAGAACTTGTTTATCTGTAAAGTATGTTGTTAATCACTAAATCTAAAATTAAGCTGAAAATCTGAAATTCCCTACACACATGCCTCCTCCTCCTTGCACCATCCCTTTCCCCTCTCCCAACACTTTATGATGATTCATTGGTTTGCGTTGACCTATGTTCAGAACTCCTTCCAAACCTCCTACCTCTCGACTTTCCATAAAACTCAGTGTTCTTTATGGCAGTATTATGATATTTGCTGCAATTTTTGGCTATTTTAAAAATGAAGGCCTATGTATCTTTTTATGTGATTCACACAATATTGACTGAATTTTATTTTTTCATATTTTAGATGATATCATTTCCATGATAATGTATAGGGCTGGGTAATACATTTGTGTGATCCTTAGTAAGACTTACTTATTTTCCCAGCAAGGCAGCACCAGTCTTATAATCTTGTCAGTGTTTCGTGCCATTTTCTGATTAATTCTAGGACAAAATGGGCAATAAATTAGTTAACATTTATGATAACATGATTAAAACTAACTGTATTTTTAGTATAAACCTTTTTATATATGGTTATTTTTGTGGAAGCTTGCTCACTCAGTACAAGTTAAAAGGAGTCTTGATCATCATCATTCCTCTTATGGTGTGATCTAGATGCTCTTGTAGAAGAATCATGTGGAATCCAAAAGATCAAATATGGACTGGCCAGGTATATTTTATGTATCAAATCATCTCCAAGTGTAGCTATGTAAGTAGATTGTTCAGATGTAGAATAACGAGCCCAACCAAAGTGTCGTTGGTGAGAGCTCTTTGCCCTGAATCACCCACAACAGGCTGCTCAGGGCAAGGCCTACCAATACTACTACTAATCTTACTGTTCACCTCACTGCATCTACGAGTGAGGTTTTGCTGTGTTGATTTTATGTCTCTTTACGTTCAACACTGATGCCATGATCCTCCCAAGTATTCTGAAGTGTGATGCATGTTGCCTTCTGCCTGTGGTCATTGCAGAGGGATCAGCGGAGAGAGAGAGAGAGGTAAATAGAGAGAAAGAGTGTGAGAGAGAGAAAGAGAGAAATATAGAGCCACCTCCAGTGTTTGTGTTTAAAATTGTATATGGGTGGGATCATGGCAGCTCTTTACATATCTTGTGTCATCGTCTTCTCTTTTGTTACATCAAAGTACTTCAAAAATCATGTAATATATCATTAATAAATGATGATTTCTTAAGTAGACAAGATTTTTTTAAATGAGCCACCTTAATTGATTCTGTCTGGTAAGTAGTCAAAATTGAGTACCATTTTTTTTTGTTTTATTTTTATTGATTAAAGCAAATATTGTGTTTCTGTACTTAGTACCACTATCTGTACCCACTCTCCTGTAGTGTAGTTGTCATGTACTCATTTTATGAACATCAGTCATTTACATTTATATATATCATTATTAGCATTCATATAACCATATCCTAAAATGAAAATGGATATTAGAAAACAGTAGCCTTGGTTTTCATCACCCAGTAATGTGCAGGTTTCACATACGCACTAGGTTAAGCATTTTCATGATACTGGTATGAATATTTCTTCCTGCTTGCAGTCTTGAACCCATGAGGGTGTAAGCACCTTCTAGTAACCATTAGATTCAACAAGAATACATCCTTATTTTCTTTTTTAGATATTCTTGTTGTATTAATCAGACTGTAGGATATATGGTAATGTACAGGCATCTTCTTAGAAGGCATATTGGTGATCTGCTGGCTAATTGCTGAGCCGAACTCCTACCTCAGAAGATGACCCAGTTCCAAAGACACATATTCCCTCAGTAGGTCTGAGTTAATGATTGTTTTACTGAAAATAGGACTATTCTGGAGTGTATGTAGCATCCATTGCTTGCATTTGTATTGTATCATGCCTTTTTTACTCTTAGTTGGAGTACATTGTATCACTAACAGCAAGAGCTGCAAAGTGTACAATGTGAAATGATAGTTGTTGATTTAGAAGAGTAGCGATTTATGAAAGTACATGTGTGGAGTAAGAGAAGTAAGAACAGTTGATACACAATAATTCACTTTGATGTAGAGGCTATGGTGACCAATTACTGTGCACAGTTTAATTAAAGTTATGTACATATTCAGATTCTGTATTGCAAACTTGTGTTAATATATTTTTAAAAGTGGCAAGGCAGTATAAATCCTGATATGTTCACACTGCGTAGAAAATGAAAGAAAGTTGATAGGCAACGAAGAAAGTACATTGTTGTTCAAACCATGTAGTATTCCAGAAAAGAAAGCTGGATATATTATTTCTGTGAATACAAAAGGTACGCAAGCAATTCCATACGACATTAACTGAAACATCAGGGGTATTGAGTAATTAGCAGAAGATTTAAGATCATTATTGGAATAAAGCATAAAATTTGAAGGAACAAGATTTTATGTGAAATAACAAGTGAAAGTTGTGCAAGCAGATAAAAAAAAATAATCAAAACAGATTGAGGGTTTATTTTAGATACGGAAGAGCCTATTTAAAACAGAAGAGCTGACATGAAAGTCTTATAGCAAATACAAAGCAATCCTATTTGCATTATGTATAAAAAAATAAAAAAAACATCAAGCATTTCAGAATGAATAGTTAAACTCGCATTTCCAAAACAGAAATATTAAGATAAATTATATAGACATTTTGAAATTAAGCTTGACACATGCCCCTGCAAAAGGTGTTTTCCAGACACCATAATAATCAATCTAGCTTTATGAAATGAGGCAAAGCCCTTGGGCCTAGAGGTCTCCTGAACCAAGACCCAAGATTCATGACTTTGAGAGCCTGTTAGGGGAACCTGTTTAGTCAATCCATGCTTGCGGTGAGGACAATGAAGTCACAGAGAGCTTTGCATACCTTGGTAGCATAGTCCATATCTCTGAGCTGTCAACCAAGAAGTCATTAGACAGATTGGTCTGGCAGCTGGAGCCATGAATTCCATCAACAAGACAAGAACATTTGGAGATGTCAGTACCTATGCAGAAGGAACGTGTCTTCAAGGCCTTCAAGGCCTCTTTTTGCCAGATCATGGGGTACAGTTGGCAGGACCATGTGTCCAACCGATGGCAACACTATGAGACTGGCATAGGACGTGTTACTTGCATAATCCAAGATTGCCAACTCAGGTTATATGGGCACCTATCTCATTTCCCAGTGGGTGACCCTGCCTGCCAGGTTGTCTCTCTGTGAAACAATCCTGGGTGGAGGAGGCCCGTGGGACGACCAAGAAGGTCATGGCTTGGGCAGCTTGACCAGATCTGTTGTGAGGAGTTGGAGATGGGCCGCGGGCCTGCCTAGAGACTCACCATGAGGGAACCTCATGGCTGCAAGCAAAGGGTGGATGCGGCCATGCGTCCCTGTCGGCATTAGCCCCTTGATGATGAGGAGGAGTCTTCATGTCGAAAGTTAGCTTGTAAATTCCTCACTGCAAGGTGTGAGAGAGAGACAGAATTTACATGTGTATACGTATTTCTCTCTCTCTCTCTCTCTCTCTCTCTCTCTCTCTCTCTCTCTCTCTCTCTCTCTCTCTCTCTCTCTCTCTCTCTCTCTCTCTCTCTCTCTCTCTCCCCCCCCCCCCCCCTCCCTCTCCCTCTCTCCCTCTCTCCCTCTCTCTCTCTCTCTCTCTCTCTCTCTCTCTCTCTCTCTCTCTCTCTCTCTCTCTCTCTCTCTCTCTCTCTCTCTCTCTCTCTCTCTCTCTCCCCCTCCCTCTCTCCCCCCCCTCCCTCTCCCTCTCCCTCTCCCTCTCCCTTCCTTCCATCCTTCCTTCCTCCCTTCCTCCCTCCCTCCCTCCCTCCCTCCCTCCTTTCTCTCTCTCTCTCTCTCTCTCTCTCTCTC